ATTCCTCCGCCCCCTCTCTTAAACTGGGATTTCATGCGATTAATATCTGCAATACAAGTGTAAGCCTTTGCCTTATCACTAGTGATACCCCATTTGGAGTGGTCTTCAGTATACTCCCAATCGATGTCTTTGACACTCTGATCCGGAATCTGGATTTTGTCCACATTTTGCACTTTATAAGTGTCTTTACAATCTGAGGGCAACTTCTCGCCGGCGCCGTTACGCCAACTCTGCACTAATAGGTCTTTCATGAAATGCGGAGCAATTAGTCCCGAATACAAGTCTTTCTCATATTTACTACTTTTGGCAAAACTCGTCAAAACCAGACTTCAATACAAATGAAGACAATATTACAGATCTGTTTCATATTTATATCAATACTTCTCTAAAATACCGATTTTTAGTCTGAATCAAGAGTTGGCTTTGAGTCTCGTTTTTAAACCACTTTTTATTCTTCAACTGAAGCCATAGATCCGATTTGGCGATCAACGCGTCCTGAATATCGCTGCCATAGATGTTTGGTCTCATGACCAACAACTGGAAGACTATATTATTGATACTTTGCGTGTCTTTGGCGCTCAGACTGATACAGAGGGCCGTCTGTCCGTTGTGTTTGGCGTTGTGGGGGAAGTCATACGGTTTGTGAAGCGATGGAAATCTGGGCACTGAATGTCTTAACCAAAAGCCACCGCTCGAGTCGATGGCAAACAAGCCCTTCGAGTGCGCGCCACTTGACGTCGAAGAATCTGATCCATGGATTAGATTCACATTATGTGATTGGGGGCCGAAATGGTGCGACAAATACCTGGCGATTGATCGTTGTATACGACATAAGACACGTCCGATGAAGACTTGGCCAACTTCTTAATGAGGGGACCAATGGTTTGGCCGAATATGGAGTCCTCTTCGTTGATCTGTTTGTCAGAAAGAGTCCAGTCGTCCAAAGACTTGATGGACTTATCGGTGATAAACGAATAGCTGAAACCAGTTGTCAGCGATTTTGATGAAGACTTTTCAAGTTTAGGCATTTTGTAGACAATGAACCAATCGATGGCAGTCCCGCTCTCATCCACACAACTCAGACCATAACAGCCCATCCCTGCCATCACTATCACCGCTAAGACTGATCGCAACACTTTAGACACAACTCTTCGACACATCTCTCAAACTATGACCACTTTATGAGTAAATTAATTGTAAAATTAAAAACTTTTACAAAGTTTTCTGATTAATAATAATCTAATCAATGATTGAGTAAAACAGTGATTAAATATAATAATAATAATGAGTTTTAATTAACATTTAATTAGTTTTACGAAAACTAATAAAAATTGAATCTATGTCAAAAAACTTTTTTTGTAAACAAATATGTTTCGGTCATAAAAACTTATTTAATTTAAACAAACGGTGATTGTGTTTGTATTGAACACAAGCAGTTATATAGAAAAGTATATTAAGTCACAATTAATTGATTAAAAACTAAATTAAGTAATCATTTGATTATAATATAAAATGACTTTAAATGAGAAATTGATGCGAGTTTTCAAAACAAACCTAAACTGACAGCCAATGCGACTGTCAGTGAAGGTTACGAAGGCTTAGAAATAAACATTTGATTCAATAAAAACTTTTATTCAAGTTTTGTCAGTAATAATAATTTACATATTAATATCAGTTTTATTTGAGTTAAATTGTAATATTTTAAATGTTATCGTTATTGTATTCAAAATCCGGTTTTTTAATCACACCTTTGTTCATAACCTTTGGAAATGAAAATATTATATCAATTCAAAAACAAAAATCTCGAAAAAGTGATAAAAAACTTTTCGTTTAATCCTTCTGTAATCCTTTAAGTAAATAAAATCAGAAATCATTTTGTCATTTATATGTCAATTAATGACAATTGAATTGTCGTTTAGATATAACCCAAAGTTTTTATATAATCTATTTTTGAATGAAATGATTTTTTATGATTTTTTTGATTGTATCAAATAATAAGAGTTTTTACAGTATAATGCCTTTAATGGTTGTCTATGATATTACCTACGTTCATTTGACCTACAATACCTAAAATACTAAAATATTAACGGTTCCGATCATCGAATCATTGCTCAATGAGTAGGATAAGAAATTCACTTCTTAATCTGGATCAACTAATATTCCTCCATGGTCAAAGAAGATAATTTCTTAATCTACTCATTGAGCTGATTCCGACCATATATCATATACAGTGATATGATGGTCGGAACCGTTATAGATTGGGTAAGATGATATATTATAGGTATTGTATTGTAGGTCAAATGAACGACTACACTGATTTTGTGACCTTTAATATGGGTCGGAAAATGGGTAATATTCATGCTTCTCTGCAGCTTGCTCCAAATAGTATCGCACATTACGATTCATGTTATCTATGGTCGTCATCTCCGCCGGAGTTAATGTAAAGTCAAATACATTAAAGTTTTCGACCAAATGTTGCTTATTTAGGGAACGGGGGATAACAGCCACTCCCCTCTGGATCTGATATCTGATCATAACTTGTGCCGTACTTTTGCCATGACTGCTGCCAATCTTGACGAGATCTGGCTTTTCCATGAGTTTGCCCTCACCTAACGGACTATAAGCGGTCACATTAATGCCTTTCTGATGACAGAAATCTATTAATAGCTTTTGAGTCAAAGTCGGGTGGCTTTCAATCTATAAATTAATTGTTATCACAATTAATAATAATCTTAAAGTTATCTGTTTTCATGAATACCTGATTGATAACGGGTTTGATTGTCGCGAATTCAAGTAATCTTGTAATTTGTTTGCTATTGAAGTTGGAAACCCCTATTGACTTGACCCTACCATCTCTCACGGCGGCCTCCATTTCCTTCCAGGTGTCGATATAATCAATTGGCGACGGAATGATATGGTGGTATGGATCCATTGGCTCCATATCTGGTCCCTCTTGATATCTATAATATGAAACACATTATTATAATAATTGAAATGACAAATATTGAATGTATTCATACCCCATCGGCCAATTCATGAGCAATAAGTCTATGTATTTAATATTCAAATTAGTGAATGACATTTGTATGGCTTCGGAAGCTCTGGCACTCGAGTGAAACGTATTCCAAATCTTTGTGGTGACGAAGACATCTTCTCTCTTGATCTTGCCCTCCGCTATCTTCTCAATAATGGCTGATCCGACTTCAGGCTCAGAGCCATAAAAATAAGCCGAATCGATGTGTCGAAAGCCAGCATCGATGCCGTTTTTAACCGTTTTATACACCAAATCGCGTGTAAATTCTTTGCTTCCCGTTCCCATTCCCAGAATTGGCATTTTGATGCCATTATTTAGTGTTATATAATCATCAGGTACAGAACTCGAGAAATTGGATAAATTCAAACTTTTAGCATTAGTTTTAATAACCACTGAAATACAAAGTAAAATAATGGACGAAAAATACATTTTCTTTATTTTGTATTATAGTATTATTATTAAATCAAACCAACGTTTACAGCAATAATAAAGTTTTGTCACAATTTTGAGT